AGCACACAGCAAGAAGGCAGCACACTACAAGACAAGATATCTCACCAGAAACCAACCTTGATGGTACCTTGGTCTGGGATTTCTAGCCCCCAGAACTTTGAGAGAATCTATTATCTAAGCCACTAAGTCTATGCTATCTTGTTAATGGCAGTCCAAGGTGATTACTACACCTCTCATCAAGAGGTCGTCTACTGCTCCTTCAATCTGAGATCGCTCTGTGACCTGTTGTGAACGCAGAAGAAGTGACATTGTGCTAAATCCAAGGCTAGCCCTTAAGAGATATTGCAATTTCTGTTTTCACCCTCTTGTTGGACTCTTGAGCTACTGCTGGAAAATCCATGTTGAGGGAACCCCCTCAGTCTGAAATATGACAAGGGGGAAAGGCCCATGAAGATGAAAACACTAGAGGAGAGAGATGGCAGAGGGTTCCAGCCATCCCTGCTGAACATCCACACATGTGAGTGAGGTCTGACAACACTGGTGAGTCAGAGATGAACCATTCAGCGGAAGCCTGACCAGCTAACCCACAGAATCATGAACAAATGGTTGCTTTAAGCCATTACGATTGAGATGGTTTGTAGTGCAAGACCATTTAACTTATCCAGATGGAACAAGAGAAAGGTATTTGGAGCAGAGAGAATGGTTTGAACAATGGTGTCATGGTAAAAAACTACAATATGAATTTGGGCAAGGAATTCAGGTCTCATTAGTAAAGCCCTTAGGACGATCTTAGAGAAAAATGAGAAAATAAGGCTAGCGAGGTACATTGGAGTTGAATTGTGGAGAGCTTTCATTGTAATAATTTTTTATTGGGCACTTACCTAGCTTACTCAGCTGAACCCCTTTCATGGATTAGCTACTCAACTCTCACATAAATCTATGTTAAGGTTATACAATTACAATCCTCCACTTTATGGATAAGGAAACTTAGGCTCAGAGGTTAAGTTACGAAAGAAAGAAAGAAAGAAAGAAAGAAAGAAAGAAAGAAAGAAAGAAAGAAAGAAAGAAAGAAAGAAATCACATAGTGGTGAGAAGAGAATTTGAACACAGGTGGTCTAATTCCAGAAGCTGTGACCATAACCTCCAAAGAAGATTGCCTAAGGCAAGGAATTTGGACCTTAGTGATAAACATGGAAGTATTTTAAGCTGGGGTAGCATGATTGAAGCTGGCAACGGTGGGTAGAATCTGGGAGCTGAGAGAATGGCTAGGGTGCCATTGGAGTAGTACAGTCATAAAGTGAGAAGGGTCTGAATTAGGAAAAGAGGGGGGAAATGGGAGAATAAGAGGGATTTGGGGCGAAAAAACTATAAATAGCACCCAGGGAATGGCTGGATATGGATGCATAAAGGGAAGGGGAGGAGTCAGAACTTAGTCCCATCTTTCTGGCTTCGTTCCAAGGGCGGTCATTCCTCAGAAACACTTGGGGAGTGCAAGGGGAGGAGGTGCTTTGGGGTGGCACAGGATAAGTCAGCATTAGACTTGTTAGGTGGAGGCGACAAGGGAATATCAAGTGGAAGGGTCTGCCGGGCATTTGGAGATGTGTGAGTAGGAGCCAGGGACAGAGGTCAAGGTCATGTGTAGACAACAGGTTTGGAATTCGTTCAGAACTGAGGCGCCACACATCTAGGACATGTCAGTTAGGGGTCCTGGGTTGTAAGCAAAAGAAACCAAATCTGGCTAGATGTGGGAAAACCTAGAAGAAATGAAGTCTACTGTGCACCTCTCCTCAGAAAGGGCAGGAGCCATGGAGGTTCCGGGTGCCCAGGTGGGAAGAATTCACGAACAGTCTGGTCAAGCTGAGATGAATCAGCTCCAACTACTTGCCCGACTCCTCAGGATTCAAAGTCCTGGGAGGGGATCCTGTTGGCTTGGTCATATACCCACCCCTTGGCTAAAGGAAGTAAGGACACCTTGTCTTCCATTCCCAACAATGTGGCACATAACGCAGGAGTGGTGATCTTCCAAAGGAAACCAGACCCGGCTATCAAAAGACAGGGGGGAGGAGATGCTGAGTGGCCACACCAGTCAATGTTCGGTCCATGGAGAGAGTGTGCAGAGGAGAGAGAGCTGTTAGCAGCTGGCACCGCAACACGAAAGGGAGGAGGCGGGGGATCTGATGAGGAAAAGATAAAGGCTGGCCAAGAAAATGGAAGAGAGAGGTTAGGCTAAGGCATTTTGAAAAGGGGCAAAACACCAGAGTTAAATGCTGCCAAGTGATCAAGGGTGATAAAGGACAGTGAAAAACGGATGGAGCTGCCACCATTGGAACTTACTGGTAACCTTCTCAAGAAGGGCGGGGGGTGGTGGTGAGAGAGAGGCAGAGGACGCAGTGATGCAGGAAAGAAGGGAGGTCAGAGGGGCGGGGGCAGGAAGAAGACATACGTTGGTGATTGGAGGGGTCAGTATCGCAGTGATCCTCAGCACCGAGAGCTTTCCATTCTATTTGGCCAAACATGAGTACAAAATAATTCTCAGCCCAGCACTTAGTAATGTCTTTTCTCTGAGGCTCTTGTGGAAAGTAGTGATGACAATGGGAAGGTGTGAATTGATGCTCTGGTTTAATCTGTTTCAGAAGTTACAGAAAAAGAAAATTGGATTTATTTAAAAGCCAACCAGAAAGGGAAATAAAAAGACAAATGCCTTTTGTAAGCTTAAAAAAAAAAAAAAAAAAATCACACCCAATGCGACAATCCCAGAAAACTAATCGTAAAAGTGAACTGTTACAACCAGTCTCCTTTCCCCTGGTTAAAACAATCTTATGTAACAACATTTGCATCCATGATGTTGTGTAACAAGTGGCTTAATGTGTTTTTAAACAGGGGTTAGATAGGAGAGGAGCAACTATTACTATCTTACTATTGTGACATGGGTCACTCTTCCAGACAAAACACCACCACCCATTGGAAGGTAGGGATGGTTTTTACTTAAAGACAAGGTCATACTGTTTGGGGGGGGGGGGGACAGGGGGGGGGGGGGCCGGGGGATTTTCGTCTTCTTCCAAAGCACTCAACACTGGATCTCTTCCAAGAGAGGAAACGAGACTAAATAGATCATTTGTTTTATTCTGTTTGGGCATTTCGTGCGTTTCTCTCAACTGCAGCTTATGGACACAAAGCCAAACTCAGAGACTGGCTGCAGCTGGCTAAATTCCAGGTCACTTTTGAAATTTTTTTTTAAGGAATAAACAATTTGAAACTCTATCCGAGGATTAGGGCAAGCCACACAACTGAAGGACAAAATGAAATTCTGCTGTGAGTGTGAATCACAAAGGAAGAGGGAGGTAGGAGCGTTAAACAATTTGGGTTTCTCAAATAAGACCGATGAAGAGACGGGAGGAAAATGCATGCTGAAAGCACACATCTGTGAGAGATACATTTCAAAGAGGATCCCATGTGAGAAGAACGGTCGTTCATGGGCACCAACTGCCCGAGGAAGGAACACGGCTTCTTTGGGGCAGCTCCCGAGTGACGGATGTCAAATTGCCTCGTCACTAGAATGTCATGGAGAGCTTAGGAGGTTGCTTCTGTATCCTCTTGCTGGCACGAGGAGGGCCAGCCAACACCAGCCATGCACATTCTGTAACAAGCATAGTTGGTATTCCCCACATATCCTACTGGAAGAATGGGTCTTTGTCTTGAATCGCTTCCCTTTGGGAGACACTCATTGGCAGTCCCATCCAATGTCCAAGGGAAAGAGAAAGGCACATTCGTGGTTGGGCTTAGTTTAGGAGATTCGTTAACACCGCATCCTGTCTGATTTCAGAACTGACAAGTCATGTACACTATTGCTCAAAATGTTCCTTTGACAGTACTGGGTAGAACAGGGAAGTGAGTGGCAGTCATTAAAATGTAAACAAAAGAGGTAAGTCCCCAAGATTTCGGTCTTTTACAGCTGGAGAATGCGGACCCTAATGATTAAAAATAAATCATTTCCCCTCCCTCAAAAATGTTGGCTCCGTTAAAACCAGAGGCCGAAACCCTTCAAAAGAGTCTCTGTGCATTCTTTCAAAAACTGAAGAGTAACTTTACTAAAAATTTTCAGTGGCAAAAATTGAACCGAAGTGTTTCAGATCTAAGTCAACCTATCAGTGTGAACCTTCAGATTGTGATACTCTACGATAGATTTGCAAAAGGTTCCTATTGGGGAAAACGGGATAAAGTATACAAGGGACCTCTCTGTATTATTTCTAACAGCTGCACGAGGACCTACAATTATCTCCATAAGAATTTTCAGTTAAAAAAGTGATTGAGACAGAAATGGATGTAGGGAATCAAGCAGGCTTTCAGAAGCTGGCTCTACCCACGCTTCTTGGTTCTAACTTATTTCTCCATTCGCTAGGCTCCTGAATGACTCCCTTCCATCTGGAAGAGGCTGGTCCCCAGTTTCTCAAATACACCAAGCTCATTCCCACCTCTGGGTTTTTCTTCTCTAGCTTCCTGGCTTCATGTCATTCTTCCCAGGTCCGGCTGGCCCTCCCAGGCTAGAGTAAGCCCTAACACTGTTCCCCGGGCAGTACTTGCCATGTCTGTAGTCACTTGGCCCTGTTCACCCACCAGTCAACAAACATTTATTGAGCAACTACTATATGGGTAGTGTTGGCTCGAGGCACTAGGGACGGGGTGAGTTGAAAACCATGTGAACTGGTTTCTCTTGCCTGCTTTCTGGAAGCATATTTTCTAACGAGGAAGAGTAGAAGACAAGTAGCCAAGAAAAAAAAAAATGTTAAAAAAAAAAAACCCAAATGATGAGTTCTATGAAGAAAGTTAATAAATTGGAGAAGAGAGGGAGTGACTTTAAGTCAAGCGGTCAGAGAAGGTTTCCTCGAGAAAGAAGGTGACACTTGAGTGGTGCCCTGAAGTATAAGGAAGCAGTGATGAGAAGATCATGGGGGCTAGGGGGAGCATTTTAGGCAGAGAGGACAAGGAAAAAGCATTTATATCCTGCCCTGTAATTAAATATGAATATTAGGCATGACTGTAAAATAATGAAACAGGTTTTCTTTCGGTGGCTGTGCTTCCTTTTTATTTTAAGAGCCAAACCTTCCCTAGCATATTTCTCTGTAAGAGAGGCTGTGAATACCCTTAGGCTGGCCCAGATTTCACACTTTTGAAAGTGACTCCTTCACCCCGACAGGCACACACCGTCTAGCATGGCCGCCCACACACCGAGTGTAGATCATCCAAGTTGCTCTCATCAGTAGACGCAACCTCATTTCACGGCCGTGTCTTAGATTCGCCACATTTCCTTCTCACAGTTGGGGCCGTGGGCCTGCTGGCACGGGTTCTGCACTGAGGGCAACAGGAGGACTTATGTCATTAAAGTTGTGTCCCCACAAACCCAAGTTGGCGCAAAGGAGGACTGCAAGCCAGGTAACGCAGCTGGGAGCCTGAGGGTGCTACGACTCCGGGCCTCTGGGGTCTGCGCCTCTGTCGCGCACAAGGTCCCAGCAGTTTTAGTTAGCGATTGGGGAAGGGCCGGATTCCCAGGACTCTGCGGGTACCTCGCGCTGTCACCGCAGCCACGACTCCAGATTTCCGGATTCCCTTGTCTGCCATCTGCCTCCGGCGACCGGCCCACCTAGGAGAAGTCGGCTGTGGGGCACCCTGCGAAGCGCCTCGCGGGGTCATCTGCCCCTCCCCGGCCGAGACCTGGCATCGTTACCCCCATCACCCCGCCCGGTGGGCACTGTCCCGGGGCACCCCCCCCCCCGCCCCGTCTCCTCCCGGGGGTGGGTGGGAGGGGTGCAGCCAACACGACTTGCCAGCATCCCCGGGACGCGCCGCGAGCCCTAGGGTCCCTCCCTCTCCGCGCGCGCGC